TCTGTTAACATCTTTTGATTATTGTAGTGTGACTCACTACACAGTATCAACATGTTGAAACTCTAGGTGAGGGGTGGGCAATAATGTTAGAACAGAAGACTACTTCACAAATTTTTGAAGTGGCCTCTGGCTGTCCTGGAAGGGGTCGGGCCAGGACACTTTCCATGCTCCCATGCCCACAGACCCTGATTGACCTGGGGTGCAGGACCGTGTGAAATCTTTGACCCCCATAGAGGATTATGAAAACTGGAACAGCTAGCAGTTCCTTCTAGGCGCCACACGCCCCTGGGACGAAACTTTGCATGCTCCCTCCGCCCCCAGGCCAATCAGAGCCTGGGGACGTGGGAGCACGCAATCTCTCATCCCCTGTCTCTGCCCTGCAAGGAGTGTGCTGCACCTATAATGAACCATCAGCTGTTCAAAACACCTGGCAATTCATTCTGAGCACCGAGTGCCCCTGGCAAGGGGAGAAACTTTGCATGCTCCCCCACCCACAGGTCTTGATTGACTTGGGAGCAGCAGGGCAGCCATGTGCTGGATCAACCAGCTTGGCCAGCTAGATCCAGCCATGGAAGCTCTTACTCACCCCTGCTTCAGTGTCAGACTGTTACTCATGAGTCAAATCCAGATGAAAGGGTTATGAAAACTGGCTACTGTATTGGAGCAGTTGTCTGTTTCAAGCCCATATTAAATTAACCATTAGCAATAAATAAAGCAAATCTGCCATTGCAAGCAACACTCAGGGCTTTTCTTATTTCAGTTTTGCAAATGAATGTATTTAATTTCTGGGCGTACTGCAAATCCTCTTTGTGACCTCCACCAAGCCGTGTTTATTAGACTGGAATAGGGAAGGAAAAATATCCCAGACCCATTGCCAATGTTCCCTCTAAGATTTTCCATACTTGGGTGGGTTGAATTTTCTTTTGAGTGGATTGAAATTTCTTATGTGCAACACCAACATGGAGGTAACGTATGGATGTGCACCCACCAGTACAAACAAAAACCATAGGTATAAATATATATTTTAAATGTCCCATAGGTGTGGAAGAAAATATATTAAAACAAGGGATAATTAACAAGGAGCAATTCTTATGATTATTCAATATGAAATCAAATAAAAAGAAAATTAACACTACCCTTGGCTGAAGAAGTAGGTTGTGCATACGAAAGCTCATGATACTATTTATATATTTTTGGTAAAGATGCTACAGAACGCTTGGTTTTTTAAGGTCTTTATTTTTTTTTTTTTAGTTACCAACTAACAGGGCTACTCCTCTGAGACTTTGGAGTACATGTATCATCATCCTTTCTAACAGACAGATGCATGTTTCAAAGATCTTGCAAATAAGGTTTCCTACTACAAAACAGCTAGCATGACAGCTAGTACTTGCTACTTCTGACTTGTAAGAGTCAGAACTCTAGTATATAGCAAAGATCTGGCCTTAATGCAGTGTAGTTTGCCATGTATTAATTAGTAACACAAGATTTAAACATTAAGATCAGAGTTTTAGATATCTGCAACACTCAAAAAAAATTCTGTTAAAAGACTCTTTTTCTTTCTTACCGTAAGCCATTAACACAGGGGTGGGCAATATATTTTGATGGGGGAGCCACTCAAAGAATTTGGTAAGTGGTCAGGGGCCACACCTTTCCCTTATATTAATGGAGGAAGTGTGGGGGTCTGCGATGGAGGTGTTGGGTGCAGAAGGGAACTTGGGGTAAGGGATCCAGGTGTGGGATCTGGGAGGGAGATTGGATGAAGTAGGGGATCATGGACTGGGATGAAGAGGGAGTGCAGGGCCTGGGAGGGAGTCGTGGCCTGGGGCAGGGGCACAGGAGTAGGTAGAGGGATTTTGGCTCTGACCAAGGATAGCGGATCAGGGTGCAAGGTCTGAGGGGGGTTGTGACCTGAAGTGGGGCATAGAAGGAGATGCAGTGTCTGGGAAGGTGTATGGGGGCTGGAGTAGGGGTGCAGAAGGTTTGGGTTACATGGGGTAGGAGGGCAGAAGGGAGGCAGAGGGTTGGGGGAGGTAGGGAGGCACTGAAATGCCAGAGATAGAGTTCTGACTGGGAGACCTTACCTGGCTCCAAGCCAGCAGCCCAGCGGATTCCTTAGCCAGGGTCCCTGCCTTCCAACCCCAGCACGTGCTCAAGGGAGCTGCAAGAGCCATGTTTGTTGCTCTAAACCAGGGCCCTTTGTTTGCGGCCCACGCTGAGGTTTGGGTTTACATGGGGCTCAACATGTGACCTGCAGGTGGGAGCCAAAATAAAAAGGTAGTCAATGTAATGGTCTTCTGTTAATATGGATTTTAGTAGTTAAATTCCTGGACTGACATTGCTCATTAAAAGTGCTGTCATACGGGTGGAAATCAGGTAAATATTGCTTTTTATTAATGTCAGCAGAACTGACTTAAATGGAGCCTGTTTACTGTGTAGTCTTGCCTTAATCTTTGTATTCATGCCTGTCAGTGTGAAAGAAGCTATTTGCATATATTTGAATATATATTTGTATGTATATGCAACTGTGCTTAAGTTGTGGTCTTTGGCATGTGCTGTAAGTATCATTGTGGCCCCCGGGGCTTCCAAAGTTGAGTAGCCCTGTTGTAAACTATTCTGCCTTCAGTTTGTGTGCATTTATAACAGATGTTAATATAAGGAGTTGTATGTGCACATTGGTGCCAGCACAGACCCCTGAGTTGATGAGGATTCTTTGCCTCTTAATAAAATGTCTAGATGGAGGAGGGGCACTTCATATGCTTCTGGTCTTGCAAACAGGCAGCTGCTATAGGTCAAAACCAGCTAACGGGAGCTACTGAGGGCGGGGGCAGCATGAGAAGCCTGTCTCCCCTCCCTCCAGGCTCTCAGCATTCAAAAACACACACATGGCCCTGCACCCAGCTTTCCTGAGTGCCAAGTGGGAGCGGGGCAGGCAGGGAGCCAGCTGAGGCTCTTGTGGCCAGATCTGGCCTGCACATCACCTTTTTCCCAGCCCTGCAGTAGCAGCTGGAGCCAGCTTCCTCATTTATAGCAGAAGCAGCTGTTGGTGCTTCTGCTCCTCCAAGAGGGCGGGGAGTGCCCTGCCCCCCTCTTTCCCCAGCCAATCAGCTGAGCTTCCTGCCTGCGCAGGAAGTTCTGAACCTCTGTGTGAGGCTCCGAACAGGACTGCGCGGGTGCACAGCTTACAGGGAACCTTGCCCATTGCTAATTTAAACTCTGCTCAGAAGAAGATTGTGCAAAAATATCTCCTCAGTGCTCTTCCCCCATTTTAAAATGATTTACTTATTACCACAAGGGGAATCCCTCCCCACACAAAAAATAAAAGGAATTTCTGATAGTAATAGCAATGGGATTTAGCTTTCATGAAACAAATGATATGCTGTAGGGTGGGTTTCTGTGTGTGTTGCCTTCTAGCTATATTTGCAGCAATAAGCTCATAGTTTCTGTCAAAACTATCCTTCCCTCTCCCCATTTTCCTCGCCCTACAGACTCTTTGTAACAGAAGTCCTGCGTTCTCTGCAATACAACTTCCAGGCATCCCTGCTCATTTCCACAGAAACCCTACAATCCTACCCATTTCCCCCCTGCATTATTCCATTGCATTATTTGCAACATTTGAATATTAGCTGGTGGTTTGTATATTACATTAATCCAATATAGCATGAAATGACTCACAGGTATGTTATGTATTGTAGTGATGCGATAGAGCTAATTGTGTAAAGCAGTGCTTTAAGGATTGTTCTTCAAGGAGGGTTTGTCTTTTTAATCTCCACTAGGGTTCATCAAAGTGTTTGTGGACATAGAATATCCTTTGATGGCTTTTCAGCCCCAGTAAGATAGTCTGTGTAGGACAGCAGTCAACAAACTGATTAGATTATCAGAGGAGTAGGATATGAATAACACAAGTACATAAAGGATCACAAAAGAAAGGACTGATACAATTTTAGGACTGTAAAAACTTGAATAAAAATAACAATAACGGGTCTTGTGTACGCATACTATAATGGCAAAATTGGAGAAATCAGAATAGTGTTAAAATGTTAAGCTGCTCTAATGATCTAGGTGGGCAGATCTAACGATAATAAAATATTTGGGAGCATGTACATATTCTCTAACCAAAGTATAAAGCATGTTATGTGCACTACTTAAGAGGCTGAATAAATAATGAAAAGGTCTGAGACTAAAATTCTATTGTTAGAATAGATACATGAACAATAAATACAGTTGAAACATTATGGACTAAATTCTCCTTTAGTGCAACTTCTATTGGCTAAAACAGGTACACAGAGGACAAATGTGACATTTTATTTTATACAGATATATTATAGGGATGACAGAAGAATGTTCATTATTTGGTAGAATTTTCTTTTCTCTGTGCTGTTTGCAGAAATGTGTGTGAAATCTGCCAGATGATATATAGCCATCCCATTACCTGTCTTCTTCTGGCAGGTAACTAGTTAGATTTGTGTTAAACAGGATTTGCTTTGCCATTTCCATTTGCTGCGAGAATGGAAATGTTACGATATGCTATATGACCAATCAATAACTGGAAAGTGCATTGCATGAGTCATCTGAAACCAGCAGGTTGGAGAATGTTCGTTGTTACTGGGATTAAAGCTTGCAAAGGGTGGCTCTGCAATCAGTAAATCTGCAGCACCTCCTCTGAGTGTCTGGCTTTCACTAATAAAAATAGACCCTGTATTCTTGGGTTGAAATAATTCCTGCCCTTATTGTTTGGCTGCCTGATTTTTCTGAGCTCTAATGAAGTGAATTTGCCATAAGCAAATCTACTGCTTTGCCATTTGACCAAAAATAAAATGAGACAAGAGTTTGTATCTTGTTTTCATAATCTTTTTTTTTGCGGGGGGGGGGGGGAAAGGAGCCTTTTTTGGTCTTGCTCTGGTCCAAGCAGAATAAGCACCCAGCAATGTTAGAAACAGACCATATGTCCCAGTATTTTCTGTAGTCTCTACTAACAATGTTTTATAACAATAAAATTGCAGGGCTATAATAATCAGGAACAAAGAAGTTATCCCAATGTCTTCAGAATTCACGCCTGAGAGTGAGCGTCAGCGACTACAATATCTGGTAAGAGACCTGAGGGCTGTACTAGCTGCTGCTGCTAACTGTTGCTGTGGTGTTCACAAGCATTGTTAGGTAACATTTTATTATAGCACGTTTATGAACAAACTGCTTAGGGTACATAACTCATTCCTGTTATTTATTGTACAAGGTATAGAATGTAGCCATCTTGACATTTGGGTGTGAAACACACTGGTGCATATTTTTTCCCCTTGTTTTATTAGCATGACTCACAAAGATCTCTACCTAAGCTGAATCTACCATAGAGGTGGTCTCATTCAGTGTGGGTAACTATGAATCAGGAGCGATGGATAGTGTTTAAATGTTAAGCTGCTCTAGTTTGCTTAGGGCAGCAGAACCCCCTGAAGTCAATGATTAGCTGATGAGAGATAGATGCAGTGTGCAAAACACTCGTACCCTAGATGCCATGTAACAAATAACCAAATATATTTTGAATTTCTGACTCAATCCACCATTTTATTTTTACACCATTGAAGCTAACAGTTGAGCCCGCTGATTGCTGTATCACATATGAGATAATAAAAAGTAGGCATTGCAAACAGATTTCTTATCTATTACAAACCGGTCTCTTTTGGTTTGCCTCTCAAGAGTTAAAAGTTAGTGCAGCCTCCTTATTAACTGGGTAAGTCAACGCCTACTGTCCTGCTGCATAATACCTTTTATGTTTAGCCTGGTCCAATTGTCATAGTATTTGGCAGGGCAGATATGCAGAGTTGTTAGGGGTTTCTTAAATGCTTTTGAATGAAATGCCTTTTTGTTTTTATTCAGATTTAAGTCCTATTCCAGTTCATTGCTTGAGTCTGAAATTTTCAGAGAAAAGAATTACTTTGGGAAATATTCATATTCAGAGAGCCAAACACAAAACAGGCCTAATACATATTTATGCTTAGTTATATTTAAAATGATTTGTTTTCCTATAAAATAAAGGGAATCTGTAGTATCTTGGGAGCCTGGCACTTCTCTGGGAAATAAGAGATAAAGCACTGCCTACAAGGGATTTTTGCTCTTTTGATGTCCTTTCTGGCTTATATGTGAAAACAGCAACTGATTTGAAAAGCACTTCTGCTGTTTCCCCTGGAATTTTCTTCACCTTTGTTTATTTCATTTGTATATGTAGCCTGAGCCCGGGGTATCATGTTCAAAGGAAATACACATAAGATAGCAAAAGCATGAAACAAAATTAGAGATAATTTCAAACATTCCATAAGTAAGACTTCAACTTTAGTATAAAAACAAAACAAGGTAACCACCTACCAATACTTTGAGATACTTAGAAAACATCTGTTTTTTTAAGGCGAACCTCAAAACAACTCTATGTTTTTTTGTTTACCTTAAATAAACACCTCACTCCAAAAAATCCAAATGCTTAATTAAAATGTATCTAAATTATATGAAGTTCCTGGTCATCCTCATCTTTCCAGGGCCCTCATCTGGCTCTTTTCATCCTTATGTCGCTGGAAACCAATATTCACTGCACTCCCTTGACTTAAGGGTATTTACTTGGGATTTGTTTAGATGCACGTGTCTGGCTTCCCATTTAAATGTAGTTTCCCAGTTCCCCCTCCCTTGTACACTGAACAACACAATCTGCTCATTCTGGTCTTTTTAGCATAAATATTTCTCTCTGCAGTTGTCAGTGCCTGTAATATTACCTCAGTCGGAATATGTGTTTAGTTCAAATGAACCATAAATCCACTGCAGTCTTGTCTCCTCCAGAAATACAGAAGAAAGTGGCCCAGTTCACTGTTGGAACTGGAACTAGAACTGGTTTAACAGTACAGGAAAACTTTTAGACATCGGATTTTCTGACCAATCCAAATTATAACACAGTTTTAGTATGGCCTGTCCTAAAATATCCATGAGAATGACCCTTCTGGATCACTTGGGCTTCCATTCGTAAACTGTCTAGTAAGGAACAGCCTCATCTACTGTTACTACTTTAGTAGAAAATTTAACTAAATGCAGACCCTGGCTTTCATTGGTTCCATAAAGCTGTATGGATATTTGCAGCATAAGCAGCATGCTCTGTCAATGAGTAGAAACTTCTTTGAGCTTCCAGTTGCAGACTCCCTCCTATCAGGCATCTACTCTTAAAGTTACAATAGCTAACCATGCAGACCATATAGCAAAAGGTGTCCAAGTGTTACATTTGCATTCCCTTCTCTCTCCAGATTCACAGCACTTGGGGTTGTTTTGCTCTCAGATAGGTTCCATGCATGTAGTAGACCCTTCTCTAGACAGGCTTTTGCCAGCCTCTAACGTGTTGTCCTTTTGCTTCAAAATAGTGAGACTGTGCACTGATCTGTTGCCTTCTGGAGTTTTCTGACACATCAGCATTTGAGCTAGCAAAGAATGTATCTGTTGAGATTGGCTGTTACCTTTTGAAGAGAGTTTTCATTTGAATGTTCCATATTTTGCCATTTAGTGTGGTTTTGCCACATGTATTTTACCATGTATTCCCTTTGGAAAGTTTGAGTACTATCAACTAAAATGTATTGCAGAATGGTACATTATCATTTGCATTATAAACATACTTAGAAATCGGGGCTAACCACTGTCTGTACATAGTTTAAGGCAATGTTCCTGCCTCAGAAAGTTAGCAGTCTAGAAAGACCAGGAGTAGGCAGAAGGAATTGTTCTTGTTTCTTTTAGTGGTTGGGGAACTGTGCCTCAAAGAGATAATATACCTTGCTCTGCAATATATAAGTCTGTTCTGGAGCTGGGAACTGAACACAGATCTCTTGAGTATGTCTAGTGCCATAGTCACAAGATCATTCTTCCCCTCATATAATTCTTTTAAATAGATATTTCTCTGTCCAAAAGGTTAGTTTACAAAGTACTATCTGGAGTATGGCAACACTGTATGATTTGGGGAGGGGGAGAGCTCCTTTCAACTTCCTGATAATCAGATGGTATGGTTTTCTTCCAAAATATCAGTTTTGTCTGTATGTCTTACTCTCACGTTTCTTTACACATTCACCTCAGATCCAAATCTTCAGATGCACCAAAGCTCTGCTTGATGCACCGGGCAAAAGGAAGCGCAAAGGTGGCTATAAGCTACTTTTTGTGTCCATCTGGTGCTAGGGAAAGCCAGTGTCAGTTCTATGCCAGTTGGAAACTTTACTGTATTAAGGGAAACTACAACTGTCCACTGAGGATCTGACCCTGGAGACTTGTTTTCTTTGTCTAATGTTTCCCCCTATTTAGATTCCCTGTTGTTTCGCTTGAATATGGATCCAGCCCTAGTAGTCTTCTGCGTGCATCACACTCAACTCATTCTAGTTTGTCTGGGGTCAGGCACTAAAATGTACTTCAGAAAAATGTACAAGGATAACTGTCCTCCTATTAAAGGAATAGTAATATACCTTGAAGCTTGGCTATATGTGTGCGTAAAAATGCCAGCACTGATAACACTATCGGTTGCAATGAAGCTTCTGATGTTAGATGTCAAAATGATACATTCTATAACATGACTGAACAAGTCGGTATCAAACAACTTCACAGAGAGAATTGTGAGCACATGAATGCACTCTACAGCCTAATTTGTTGGGATATTTATACATAAATATGACTTGGTTTTCACATTTGCTTTGCAGATCAATTTTAATAAAAAGGCAAAAGGGAAACCCGCTACTTGAAAGAAAAGTGACTCACATTTCCATGTGTGGGATGCTTTCTACATGGCTAACTGTTAAAAGAACATAACTAAGGGTGAATCTTTGATATAGCCAACCATAAAATGGCTGACTCCAAAAGCACATAATACAGAATACTGTAGATTTGTGCCAAAGCAGATAGTAATAAAGATCAAAATGGTGGAAAATGTTTTTTGTGCCCTAAAACTAGAATAGTATAGTGAAGCCTTTTTAATTACATTGTTAAGGATACAGAAAGTAAAGTATTTGGTATTCACTGAGATTGGTTGCTTTTGCTTTTTTTTTCTGTGAAGTATATTTTTCTCTTAGCATTCTTTATAACCTAGACTTAGTATATGCAAAATCATTGGTAAATGTGGCATATTATCACTGCTTAAATGTTATTAGAATCGATTGCCATTTTGCTTTTGTTGATCAATTACAGAGATTTTTTTTGTCTGCTTGTGGATCTCCTTTAAAGAGCTGCAGATGTTTAAGGTTTTTGTTGTGTATGTGTTTTCTTGTACTATTGCAAAAGCCAATCTGCTACCCAGGGAAGGCAAAGAGCCATGCTTTGTAGTGAAGAAGGAACAGTTTTAAGTCAGTCTGAAAGGAGTGAATCTTGGATTTTATAGTAGCATATTCTTACCACTTTATAGAATTACCAGGGAAACATCAAGAATAACTGCAAAAGAAATGTTCCTTCACATAAGAATTCAGCTCACATGCAGACACCAGCAGCTTCCAAATTCCTCTTCTCCTTCTGTTTTACTGACGTCAAAAATACTAGAATCAAGTTAAGATTCTGAGATTATAAATCAACCATTGAGGGTTGGCTGCAGAAGAGAAATCTTATTTGAACATTAGCAGTCCACTGATAGCTCTGCCAGCTTTATTAATCTTATTTCACGTGTGACCTTACATTTTCCATCTGAGTAAATCTTTATGAAATGCATTCTTTCACAATCACTTTCCCTTTGCAATAAGGGAAATTCTTGTTTTCCAAGAAAAAAAAATATTGCTAAAAGCCTTTTTAATTTGGTTTCTTTTGGACCTCTCTATAGTATAACAAGCAATTTTATAATCCATGGGTGAAAAACCCATAGGTGTTAGGTTTCGTTGTTGTTTTTGTTTGTTTGTTTGTTTGTTTTTAAAACAATGCTGTCTTTTTAACTTCAGAGAACACCAAGCTTTGACTACATTTATAAATATTTGCTCAAGATAATACAATTTTTAAAAAATGGAATCAGCAACATTCCAAACTAAATATGGATTTCACTTTTTAACATGGCAGATTAAAAGAGTAAATAGTGGAAAATCCCAGCCAAAGTTGTAATATAATATTGAGTTTCTGAAATTTATTTAGAAAATCAGGAAAATATAAAATTCTCTATTAAAATTAGCAATCAGGTTTCTGTCCCATCTCTGAGCTCTCAGAAATTACCAAATATATTTAATAGTGCAATTTACTAAATTAATGGTTTTAGACATGTATAGTTTTCAATAAAAAAGAAAGATAAATTCAATGATTGTATGTAAATTTACATATAGGATATCTAAAATACTAAAGTAAAAGTATAGAAATCCTCTTCTTTAGTTTTGACATCACTAGATATTTTTTTAAAATCAGTACAGGTTGGACCTCCCAGGTCCAGCACCCTTGGGACTGACCGATCTCAAACGAGGTAGTTTGCCGGACCGGGGAAGGTCAATTCCAGCTGCTCTGCTGCCATCCTGGGCTCTCCTCCTGATCACCAGCTCCTGCTCCCCTCACAACTGACCACCCCACAACTACCACTAGGCTCAGTTCAAAGTCCCGATGTTGCCAGATCAGAAATGTTCTAACTGTAATATCTCAACAGTATTTCTTTTAACAGAGAACAGAGATCCGTCTGCATGGACTTTTATGACAATATTTTAGGGGAACTTCATTGAAGATTACAGTTATGAAATACAGTAATGTTGTTCTGTGCTGAGAAGGGATTTGGTGGAACTTACAAGCTTGAGAGTTGGGCCTTGAAAGTAGACTGCAACCTAGTCAGCTACTCAGAAAAACATCTGCCTTGATTCCATTTCAGTGAGCTGGAGGTTTTTCCCCAAAAGATGTCTGGATAAAAGAATGGAAGCAATTGATTTATTTTAGGCAAGAGTTGTGATGTGTTAAGCCTGACCTAGCTCCCACTGAGTTCAGTAAGTTCATGCCTTAAATGGAAGGAATATTTTATTGTGACCTATTTGTACAAGAACTGTTGTGTAGATCAGTAAATAGCACTCCCAACTAGTCACTTTTCATGAGCACTAGATTTATGACATACCTAGAAACTAATGCCAGCTCATTTGATCTTCCCTGAGTGCAGCTGCTCGTGAAGATAAGGCAGATTTTATACCCTTAGCCAGCTGAACAGGACAAAAGGGGCCATTTTCAGAAGGGTGAAGGAAATGCAACTTCTGTCTGTCTACTGTAGGCCCAATGATCCCTGGTAAATTTGACTTGTTTGTCTCAGGCAGGAGTTCACTGTCAATAAATGCAGAAAACCCATCACATGTAAATTATCATTAAATGTTTCTTTCATTTGTCCTTTTGCTGCTGCTGCTTATGGTAGAATGTGGAGAGGAAACACAACAGTTAATTATGTACATGAGCTCAGATATAGTGTTAACAGATTCACTTTTCACTTCAGGGGATTTCGGCATTACTGCCTCCTAGGACCCAAATGAAAAGGAGTCATTTAGTCTGATATTGGTCCGCATCACAGAATCACCATACCCTTTAGTAACACTGGGGGGCTGTGCCCCCTGCTCGCTATGCTCACCGACCCCCCTCTCTCTGGGCATAGGTGTCTAGCTGGGGGAAGGAGGCAAGAACGGGCTGGGGGGTAGGTGTCTGGCCAGAGGGAAGGGGGACAGGAAGCAGGCTGAGGATGTGGGATTTCAGTGGAGGGTGTGTGTGAGGGGGCTCGGGGCATGAGGCCCCAGCAGGGCAGTGAGTGAGGGTGTTGGGTGTGCTGGGTCTTGGCAGGGTGGTGAGTGAGGGGGCTGGGATGCGGGATATCGGCAGGGTGGTGAGCAAGTGGATTGGGTGCAGGGTCTCAGCAGGGCAGTGAGTAAGGAGGCTGGGGCCACGCTGGGAGTCAGTGGAGGGTGTGTGTGAGGGGGCTCGGGGCATGAGGCCCCAGCAGGGCAGTGAGTGAGGGTGTTGGGTGTGCTGGGTCTTGGCAGGGTGGTGAGTGAGGGGGCTGGGATGCGGGATATCGGCAGGGTGGTGAGCAAGTGGATTGGGTGCAGGGTCTCAGCAGGGCAGTGAGTAAGGAGGCTGGGGCCACGCTGGGAGCCC